GAAAAGGAGAAGACAAGCTAAATGCCAGCATTGATGGCTCTGTGCTCCCTGATTGTGAACACGATTTGTTCACCTGTCTTAATCGTCCTCTGCCAAGACTCCAGGCTCCCTAAATACACCTGGCTGCACCCTTGGACTGTTAGCTTAAAAAAACCCTCTCTCCTTCAAACTGTGTTTGTTACAGTGTTTTAGCACAGCAGCAGAAAAAGTAACTGAAGAATTGGGCGAGAGGCACTGGTGTGATAAACTGACTCCCTTGGTCCTCAGGCCTTTGGAACTGGTTTGCAAAAGGAATGTACAAGAGTTTGAAACTTTGGGCTAGTTAAGTATTTGAGGGCTTGTCTAACAAGGGCTTGCCAAACAAACAGGGATTTAGAAGACAAGCATGCTTAGAGGTTTGGCCCAAGAGGTTTCAGAAGTAAACAGTTACTGTCAAGAACTGGGATAGAGGCATTTCTTGCTACATTCTGGCAAAGAATCTGGTCAAATTCTGCATATTCCCTAAGACCTTGTTCAATGGTGAATTTAAAAGTTATGAACCAGTTTATTTGGCAGAGAGAATTCCAAGACAGCATATTCTCCAGCTGTGGTGTTGTCTGCTGCTCAGTTCTTTTATGCAGATCTACAGAGAGAGGGAGTGAGCCAAAAGAATGAATCTCAAATGAGATCTCAGGCTTGAGAATTTTAAAAAGAGCTGGGCTTGTTAAAAGGCTATACAGCCCTTTAAAGTTGGACCAAATCTGGTTTTGCATTATGGGATACCCATGAGACTATGCAGCTAAGTGGAAGAAAGTTCTGGTTTAAAGGGAATGTGTTTGGGTGTCAAGTTGACAAAGGGTAGAGATGTGATGATTAATATCTACTTAACTGGCCCAGACCTCCTTCTAAGGTCTGAGTAATATAAGTTCGGAGGCCAGCATCTGGGTTAGAACTTCTAACAGCAGCCATCACGGGTGATTCATTTTTACCTGGAAAGGAAAAAGAAGAAAAATCTCAGGGAGATTTCTCTTCCCTGGATGTAAATTGTTATTCATTTTATTTTTGGTTGGGCTTGGCTTTGTGGGGTTATCTATTTATTTCATTAATCTTTTTGGTAGCCGATTAGCTGTGCCTTCTGTGGTATCAAACAGGCATATCAATCCTCAGCCCCATAAGGGAACTGGGTCTGGGCCATTCTAGATCTGGGGATCTAGAATCAACTAGAAAAAGAAGACTCTGTACAGCCCTGAGAAAGGTTGTCTAGATTAGGTTAATTAAAGTGGGAAGACCCAAGTGAATTGTGAGTAACACCACAGCGTTGAGTGTTTAACCGAAAATAAAGTTAACACTGTGTGTTGTGCTTTCTTTTCTTAAACATTCTGCTTTATGGAGACCTTTTCTCACCCTGTACTGCTATCACTAAAATGGATATGGAAATAAATCATAATGGATAACTGGGAGGAAAATAATTAAAAAGAGGATGACAACAGATTGGTTTGATAAGTGCATCTCATATTCTCTTGGAGATTTTTTCAATTGTACTTGTGACTCCATTTTACAGATTTAGTATCAGAAATATATAGCTGCCCCCCACGTGTAAGTGTTGGAGCTATAAATGCCTCTGTTTCTGGTTCTAAGTCGTGGCTAACTGCAGAGAAAAACTGAAGACACCCAGGTGTTACGCTTATTTAGCTACCTCAGGCTTGCCAGATGATGACACTGCCACCATAAAGTTAACATGGGAAGACCATGCCATTGGGTTACAAAACAAAAATCTCATGTTTTAAGTAAGTTTGTAACTATGTGCTTGTGTGCATGTGCCTGTGAATCCGTGTGTGTTGGATGCACTCATAACCACCCTTGGCAGCAGGCTGAGTCTATCCTAAGATTGAGACTCTGCACACATCTCTTCATCTGGCTTAGAGGTGGAATGGGAAGACACGAAAAGCAGGCAGGTCTCTCCTGGTTCCATCTCTACCTTCCACTTGGCATCATTCTATACGGTCATGGCAGCTTTCTCATGAGTAAACCTGGTGAGATTTATCTTAGTTACAATATGAAGAATAAACTGGGTAATTGTTATCAAATGGCATGACTAAGCAAGTGAGAAAACATTTGACCCTAAGTCATATTAGCCATAGACTTTGTTTGTTTGTTTGTTTGGAAAGCGGAACAGAAAGGACACAGGATGATAGTCCCAACATTACAATGTATCTTGCCTCTGAGGTATGTTGAGGAACAGATGAGAATACTTGTTTTTTTTTTCTAAATGCTAAGGAGCTGGAGCACAAGAGCACTTACTCTTGTGACAGACTCATTTTATACCATGCCAGAAGATCAGAAAAATCCCCTGTCATTTACTTTACTACAAAAGCAAGCAGTAAAACTGCCCTTTTCAGCGTATAGTCGTCTGAGTTTTAGCATGTGTACCAGTTTATATAACCATCGTCATGATGGCCATACATATAACTTCAGTTTCTGAGTCGGTTTTTTCCCTCAAAGCTTTTCACATTTATACTGCAGAACACTTTTAAAAATAAGAGAAAGGGATTTAGATAAATGTGCTGAAGATGCAAATTAACGAAACTGTCTTTTTGCACAAATCTCTGCAGTCTCCAGGCTCTGCAGCTTCTTTTCCTGGACCATTTTGGCTGGTGTTTGTGTGGACTATCTTTCCAGAGAAAGAATCAGCCATAGATTCAGAACTGGACCGCCAGAATCATGATGCATGTTGTGGGAACAATCCCCAGCATCGTTAATTTGATACGTTTATTATACTGGGTCTTCTTTTCCTCAGCCTTGTTGTTTCTCCTATCGTTTTCTCTTTAAAATGAAATAGCCTGTCATAACCCACACCTTTTAATTTAGGGAAAATTATTTGACTGAGAAAAAGAAGATAAAGAGTTTTTGAGAGTAACAACAAGACATTCGGAACTCCAGCTCTCCCAGACTTAATGACATTGGTCCTATAAGCATTCCAGTCCTTTCCCTAATCCATCATCCGGCGCCTGCCAGCGCCCCCTGGGAGACAGACTTTGGGACAAACTTCTTTCCCAGGTCAGCCCGCCTACCTCCCGCCGCGAGCAGTCCCTACGTAAGTGACTTGTGCTGACACAACGCACCGCAGCTGGTGGAGGGAGCTTTCCGGGTGACTCACGTCGTTGCAATTTGCTTTTGTTTCTGGGGTGTTTTAGCTGCAGCTTTCTTCCCTCTGGTTTTAATTTTGAGAGGAGGGGAAAAAACACCCATAATGAATCAAGAATGAGTGTCCTTTCCAGTAACCCTCCCCTACTTTAAAGTTGACTGTCTTCACAAGTTTGATAACCACCCAAGACGTGCGGGGGTGGCACAGGTAGGAAGGCATTCACTAACTACCTCTCAATCTGAAGTTGCCAGCCAAACCGAGCCAAGCCAGGCGCTCAAAAGCCAGGCGTCTGCCGCGGCGGATGTAACCTGTGCAGCTCCCTCCTTCTACTGCTGCTTTGCGTTCATGTGGCTCACGCTTAAAACCATCTCCTCACTGCCAGCGACGCCAGAAGCAGCGTGAATTCCAAGAGATCCACCAGCGGTTTTGTTTCTGTCCGAGGTAAATACGCTATGCAAAATACGGAACCACCAAAGGATGCCGGGGAGGGGGAACAGAAGGGGAATCCCTCACCTTCCGGGGCGCGCTGCTCATTTATCTCCGCCTGGGGGAGTCGCCCAGCCTAGGTGCCCCTAGTCTCCCTCCTTAAAGCCCTTACCTGGGGCAGCAGGGTGGGCAGCGCAGCGGCGATCTCTCCCGCAGCCCCGGCCCTCCCCCGCCCCCCGGCTTGGTTTTTCCCAGCCGTGGAGGTTGGGCCAGGGGCTGGGGTGAGAGGAGAGTCGGCGCCCGCAGCAGGAGCCGGGAAGGCGCGTGGACTCCGGTGGCCCTCGGAGTTGGCTTTGGAGGCGCGGCGTTTGGAGGTGAGCAGTGGGGACCGAGTGGCCAGGTTTGGAGCCTGGAGGCGGGACCGGGACTCCTTTCTATAGTAGGGCGTGAGGAGAGCGGGGGTCCTGGCTGCCACCCCGCCCACGGTCCCACCGCCGCTTTGTTGGCGGGTTCCCTCGGTTTTCCTGGAGACGCCTGGACCCTCTCGGGATCGGGGAGCTGGAGGGCCAAGAATTGGGGACTCGAGAGTAGGCGACAGCTGTACGGCTCCGCTCTCCTTTCCCCACTAATCCAAGGAGGTACAAAAAAAAAAAAAAAAAGAAAGAAAAAGAAAAAAGAAAAAAAGAAAAAAAGAAAAAAAGAAAAAAAAAGAGCCCGAAAGAATCCCGTAACCCGAAACTTCGCTCTTATCCCAACCTGGGAGGGGAGGAGCGGCGGGGGCGGGGACCCCGGAAGGCAGGTGGTCGGCGGGGGCGGTGGGAGCTGGGATTCGGAAAAGGAAGAAGTTTGCTCGCTGGACTCCGTGAGGTCTGCGTGAAGTTCGAGGCGGGAGGAGGGCAATCCCGGCTGGAGCCAGGCGGGAGGTGGCCCGGGTACTGATGGTGTGGGCCCGGAAGAGGCAGGCTTAGCGCTTGGGAGTGGGGACCGCGTCCCTCGGTGGGGGGCGGGGGGGAGGACGCACACCAAGGCTTGGGACGGGTGGCTAGTGTGGGGGCAACTTGGTTCGTACTCGGGGAACTGCGGCCGTCACTGCTCCTCACGGTTCTCTCCTGCCTGTCCCAGGTCGCCCATCGGATCCTGCCCTGTGAGAGGCGCCAACAAAGGAGTCGAGGAGGTGCCACCCACCCCAGCTGCGGCGGGAGGAGGAGCGCCAAGGCCCGTGTCCCGACCCGCCGTGCGTACTCACTGGAGGGAAGGGCGGGGTGCCGCTCCGGGAAGGGGACGCCCGGTGGCCCGGGGTTAGCCAAGTTCCAGCTTTGGCATCCCCTCCTTGGCTCTCACGCGAGGAAAGTTTGCCGTCGACGCTTGCGGCCGGCTTGCGCCCGCCGGGCCCGGGCGGTCGTGTCTTTGGACTGGGCGCCGTCCCAGCTCCGGGGAATCGCGAGCCGCGATGCCTGGGGCGGGCTCCTGGGCCCCCTCCGCCGGGGACGGACGGCTGCGGTTGGCAAGGCTGGCGCTAGTGCTGCTGGGTTGGGTCTCCGCGTCGGCCCCCAGCTCTTCGGTACCCTCATCTTCCACCTCCCCGGCAGCCTTCCTGGCCTCCGGGTCTGCGCAGCCTCCGCCGGCCGAGCGATGCCCCGCGGCGTGCGAGTGCTCCGAGGCGGCGCGCACGGTTAAGTGCGTGAACCGCAGCCTGCGGGAGGTGCCGGCAGACCTGCCGCCTTACGTGCGCAACCTTTTCCTCACCGGCAACCAGATGACCGTGCTCCCGGCTGGCGCCTTCGTCCGCCAGCCGCCGCTCGCCGATCTGGAGGCGCTCAACCTCAGCGGCAACCACCTGAAGGAGGTGTGTGCAGGTGCCTTCGAGCATCTGCCTGGCCTGCGCCGGCTTGACCTCAGCCACAACCCTCTCACCAACCTCAGCGCCTTCGCCTTTGCGGGCAGCAACACCAGCGTCTCGGCCCCCAGCCCCCTGGAGGAGCTGATCTTGAATCACATCGTGCCCCCTGAGGATCAGCGGCAGAACGGGAGCTTCGAGGGCATGGTGGCCTTTGAGAACATGGTGGCAGCTGCCCTGCGCTCGGGCCTTGCACTCCGAGGGCTGCTTCACCTGGAGTTGGCCAGCAATCACTTTCTCTACCTGCCTCGGGACTTATTGGCCCAACTGCCGAGTCTCAAATACCTGGACCTCAGGAACAACTCCCTGGTGAGCCTGACCTATGCATCCTTTCGCAACCTGACACACCTCGAAAGCCTCCACTTGGAGGACAATGCTCTCAAGGTCCTTCACAACTCCACCTTGGCAGAGTGGCAAGGCCTGGCTCACATCAGGGTGTTCCTGGACAACAATCCCTGGGTTTGCGACTGCTACATGGCTGACATGGTGGCTTGGCTTAAAGAGACAGAAGTGGTGCCAGATAAAGCCAGGCTCACCTGTGCATTCCCGGAAAAAATGAGGAATCGTGGCCTCTTGGACCTCAACAGCTCTGACCTGGACTGTGACGCTATCCTTCCCCAATCCCTGCAGACTTCCTATGTCTTCTTAGGTATTGTTTTAGCTCTGATAGGCGCTATTTTTCTCCTCGTTTTGTATTTGAACCGTAAAGGCATAAAGAAGTGGATGCATAACATCAGAGATGCCTGCAGGGATCACATGGAAGGGTATCATTACAGATACGAAATCAATGCGGACCCCAGATTAACAAATCTCAGTTCCAACTCGGATGTCTGAGAAACAGGACTAGTCAAGGAGGACTCTGCATGAGGCGTAGACTTAAGTTTTTTTTGTCCCCTTTACTAGGCTTGTTCCACTTCCACCCTCCACTATAGACACTATTGACTTTGATCCTCATTATGTAAAGTTCTTGGTGTGTTCTGTTAATGTAAGGACATGAACAACTGTGCATATAATGTTTATCTACCCTTTTCTTTTCGTTATTCCTCGATGCCTGCAGAGGGATTTTTTTTTTTCCTCTCTCAAGTCGCAGCATGGACATGGACTCTCTCAGTTCAGTTCAGTTCAAGGTGTAGCACAGATAACATTCAACGGAAGTTGCCTCAGTTTTTTTTTTGTTTGTTTGTTTTTTGAGAAAAATACTTTATTCATAATTATGAGTTTCATCTTCACCTACCTAAAGTATGGAGGAAATATTGCATCCCCAAACTGCCTGCAGACCGTAGCAAGCTCTTACATAGAACTTTGTAGTGCACAGGAGCACATGCATCCAAGAGCATGCATACATTTTACTGTTCTGCATATTAAAAAAAATTGCAACTTCGGATAACGTCTTTAACAAACTAAATTACTTTTTGATTGCAGTTTATAGGAGACTGACCTGAGGTTTTTCGGGTTTTTTTTTATAAACTGCATTGAGATCCAACAGACTGGATTGTTATAAAAAAAATCAATAAAAGAGTCTTAAAAGAAGCATGTTGTGTTCAAGTTTGGTATTTTGAAAAGAGGATTAAGGGCAGTGATATTGAATAGTCTGGGTTCAAATAATAATGAAGTTATTAGTTAGCAGAGCTGAGAATTAGCCTGGAGCAGTGTCTTCATATAAATAGACTGGAGATAATTCTGAAATGGTGGATTCTTTTAGGGCTTAAGTGGAATTAGAATTATTTATAGGGCCAGAGTATTAAAGGTCCCCAAGTTAACCGTGTTCATTATGCGTCATTTAAAAGAGCATTGGGAGGTTGGTAATAGTGAAGAGTTCTTTATGATAAACATGTCACAGCTGCCACTTTGTCTAGACTAATTTAGTTGCTAAGACAGAATCATTAGCAAAACTGAATGAAGTTGCTCCGTGGAATTTTAGAGCTAAGTGTGAGTCATGTGGCAATAAATGTGTGAAAATAGAGGATCTTAAAATATTTTGAAATAAAAATATCTTAAAACACAAATTAAGAACAATATTTTCAGAGATCATCAATTGGAGTTCAGAGAATTTTCAAAGTGGAACACTGTGTCTTGGAGTTATGACTGTGTTTAAGCTTAATGAAAGAATCAGAGGTACATACTTGTATCTAGAAACAAGTATTATAAGTAGCTATTAGATTCTTATATTCAGTATTTAAGAATTTGAGGGTCTTTTAAGGAAGGCTCAGCTCTGAGCACCATTTAAGTAAGTGTATATACCTCCATTAGGACTAAGTCATTTAGGTATAAAGTAAAGCAAATTTTCATTAATATTCTTGTCCTATACTCTTGTCTCTATTCCCACCATGCCCCTGTCATCATCTGCCACTTACAGTGTACAGTAAATTTCATTAATCTGTCTCCAGGCCATTGATTTAGGGAACTTAAGTTCAGTCGTTATTCCCTAACTTCAAATAGGAGGACACTTGCATCAGTAAATGTTAAGACCTGTTTTCATCTTAAGTGATTCATGTCTACATTGCTTTACATTTGAAATAAAACTTACGCTTTGCTATTTTTATAGATAAAGTAGCTTTTACCTAAGTTATGAAGCTCTTTGCAGATTGCTGGATTCAGGACTTTTTAAACATGTTAGATCTATCCATTACTTAGAATTGAAATATATAGTGTAGTATGGATAGTGGGGCTTTAAGATTTTAAAGTCTATTTGGATTACTTTGTGAAATAGTATTCACTATTATGGGTAGTATTTCTAATCCTATAATTACCTGAGTAAAGGCTAAATATCGGATACTTCATGTTTCATTGAACATGCTAAGTATTTATGAGGGATTCATAAACTGGCTGCCATTATTTTCAAAGACTAATGAAAGGTGGTAGTATGTCGAAATGATAAAAACATCTAATAGATAATAAGAATATGCTGGTTGATGGATGTATAGCTATTATACAGTACTGATGAGCCTGGTAATTAAACAGTTAATATTGGAGCTTTCTTAAAGATTCAGGAACTTCATAGGATCATTGGTTTTTATTATGTTTGTTTGTTTGTTTGTTTGTTTTTCTATCAACTCCCAAACCAGAGATGAACATGAGCAAACAAAGATGGCCTCTTGCCGGTTAGGAGATGGCTGTTTTAAGGTTGTCGTTGCCCCTACCCCCACTGTCTTGCTCTTCTGCATTGACCTACTGAAGTGCTTGAGCCTTACTTTGGACTGTCACAATACATGAGGTCTAGCTCAATGCACGTGTTAAGTTCCTTGGAAGATGGTCTGTGTAGGCAGAGCAGGCGTGTGGGAGTGAGAGGTAACATGAAATATAAACAACAGTGACTTTATTTAAATAATTAGGCTTGCTACAAATACTGTTCTTTACCATTATACCTTGTTCTCAGAAACTTAGAAAATTCCATTTAAGAGTAAATTTTGGTTGCTTTTATACTTTATTGCAGAAGTTAAATATTCAAGAGACATTCTTTATCTTTAACAAATTTCATTTGAGGTCAGAAAAATACAGTTTGATCTCCTAATTTGAAAAGCTATTAAAATATCTAATAAATTTCTATGTAGGAAAGATTTTAGGACAGTGCAGCTATTTGCCCCCACATCGAGTGACACTCTTCAGCATTAATTCTTGTCGCCACTTTGGCTGCCCTAAGTGCAATGCATTGGCCATCTATCAGGTTTCTCCTAGAAAACATTTAAACATTCGCTGGGCTGACTTTCATTTTAAGGAAAAAAAGATGAATGGGAAGGCTGGGTTGAAGCACGTGAGTGACTTACAATTAGTAAGTTCTCATGAAACATGATTGACAATGGCCGTGATGTAATGCTCATTGCAGTATTTAAAGTCCCTTACTCTTTTTTTTTTTTTTTTTTAAAGATTTATTTATTTATTTTATTTATGAGTACACTGTCGCTGTCTTCAGACACACCAGAAGAGGGCATCCAATCTCATTACGGATGGTTGTGAGCCACCATGTGGTTGCTGGGAATTGAACTCAGGACCTCTGGAAGTGTAGTCAGTGCTCTTAACCGCTGAGCCATCTCTCCAGCCCCTAAAGTCCCTTACTCTTATTCCATCTTTTAAATGTGGTGGTGGTGGAGACACAAGTCACACAATCCTTTCTTCCTTAGGCACTATCTGCTCTGCCCCCTTGGGTCTGGAATTCTAAAGCTGCGCTTGCTTAGTTGAAAATCTTAGAAGCATTGCTGCTCAAGTCTGATGGCGTTCATCCTTCACGTCATGCGTGCTTTCCATCTTGACTTCTCCGAAGACTTGAGTAACAGATACCAAGGGGATCTGCAAAGCGGAGAGCTAAATAAAGCACATGCTTTCTTCCTGCTCCCAAATCCCCTCAGCCAATCACCTTCAGAGCAGCGTCAGGAAAATAGGGAGGAAATTCTGTTTGTCAGTAACACATGAAACCTCTTCAATAGTTCCTCTTTAGAAGGTTTCAGCAGCGAAGTCCTGTGCTTCTGTCTCCTTTCAGATGGGGAACACAGATCCTTGAAGGCTTCTTACCTTTCCATTCTTCTTGGAGACTGGATTCAAAAAGGCAGGCTCTTCGAATTTTGTGTTTTGCCTTAGAACATTTTAGCATCTCAGTCATTTTCACGTGTTAAAAAAAACAACCTAGATTTAAAACCATTTAAGATAACGGTATATATATATGTGTGTGTGTGTGTGTGTGTGTGTATGAATTCTCAGTGTGTCAAAAGGGCTCTCAGACATGTCAGGCAAGTGTTCCATTCTACCGATGGAAAAATGAGGATTGTGACTTTAAGGCCAGCCATTCTAGACACTAGGATTCAAAGCTACCCATCTCCCATCCTGATTGTCTGATGGCAGTATTGCTAATTACCCTCCTGGGAAATTCCATGTCTTAATTTTTAAGAGGACTTTTTCTTGGTGCATTTATCCTTTTGAGTGAGTGTTCCAATCTCCTTCAGATTTCACTTTGAGATTAATAACAGGTACCATGCTTCAGGTCCCTGAGCGTACCTTAGTGTTTTTGAAATATTTTGCTGATGGTTGTCACTACAACGTGTGTCTGTATCTATACCGTGATAGGAAATAGTTTTACAGTTAAATTATTTATAAATGATACAAAATAATGGATTTTATCACAGCATTTTTATACCTCTTTACTTCCATGCTAGGAAATAGTTTGCAAACACCCTGGCCGCGGTGGATTGGAAAGATAGAAACTCTGGAATGCTGGGTAATGTGTATAATTCTATCTTCAAGAGGAATTACTTTAACTGGTGAGAAACCAAACAAATTAAGCCGAGTTCCTGGCCACACAGTTGGTCACCTGATCAAACAGTAAGCTTTGCATGATCGTGGTCTGCTGGCCTTCCTGTGCTGATGCCAGGGGCTGGAGCCAAACAGGGAAGCTCTGGCAATGCAAAGCGTTCTCGCTTTAATAAATCCATGTGCTGTCAGGCTGGGGCCAGCCCTGGGGCTGCACAGGTTTGCTGTCTGTGTGCAGCCCCACCGACAAGAACCCCAAGTTGTCTCCCATTGTGGTACACATGCCACAGACAGTACAAGGTTTGTCCCTTATGTGGATTCTGAGAAGATTTTGGTTGATACTCTTTGAATTTAACCTGTAGGAAATCAGTTTTGCTTTATTATCTAAAATAAAAATGTGCCTAAAGTTATGACGGCTACATGACACACATACATATAACTTTTTATTAAATATGCTCTCATATTTAGCCAACATTTTATGTTAATAAGGGCTATTTATGATTCAGTTTAATTTGGTTAATGTCAGAAAATACTTGTTATCGAGGAAGCAAGAACTTCAAATATGACCAACAATAAGACTTTTTTGTGGAAAATACATATTTAATAAATACATTTTAATGATATAGTCAAGGTACAAATTTTTATTGGGAGCTTATAGGCTTTTCCCCCACAGTACTGTCTTTACCACTTTTTGGTTGACTTCTCCAAAGACAACTGTGATATAAGCTATTTCAAGGTCACTATTTGTACCCAGGGGAAATGGACTAGCTGTGACTTTAGTCAGCTCACTTTATGAGCATGTCCTTCATAGACATTTTCCTCCAGTGTTAGAGGGTGGTGGCAGTGAGCTTCAAAGACGTGGCTTTTCAATTAGACATATTCTGTGATCATTCACATAGCTTTAGAACATGGCTAAAGAGCATTTAAAATACATAGTTAGGTTGTCTTATACTTTCTAATAATTTACTATAATATAAATAAAATATGTAATATATATATAATCATTTAATATAAATAAAATATAACTTATAAATATTTAAAACTCCAGGGGTCAGGAATCCACAGTGTTTTATCCTGTCATCAAGGAGGGAAAAGTCTTAATATTGAGATAAGCTGCTTTTTCTTCATGTCACATGTACTTTATATATGTACTTTACATGTGATTTACATGCAATCATTGCCATCACCCCCAAAGTGTTTTAGTAGCTGTTTTAGAATACTTCATTTCATACAGAGGCTATGCTTTGTGACTTTGGTAATCCTCTCATGACCATTGTTGTGACTGCCTGCAT